GGGGAGATTCGCGATTCGTGAATCTCCCCCCACCTTTTTCCTCCACCAAACATCTAGCCAATGGTGGGGAAAGTGACGATCTACCAACCAATCAATAAATGACACATTCTTGACATTTTTCGACAAAAAAAGGTTGGGGGAGATTCGCGAATCTCGTCCCTCCTGATTTCCCTACCAATCATATACCCTATGGTGGGGAAAGTGACGATATACCAACCAATCAATAAATGACAAATTTTTGACATTTTTCGGAAAAAAAAAAAGGTGGGGAGAGATTCGCGAATCTCCCCCCACCTTTTTCCTCCACCAATCATCTAGCCAATGATGGGGAAAGTGACGATCTACCAACCAATCAATAAATGACACATTTTTGACATTTTTTCAAATAAAAAAGGTTGGGTCCCCCCACCTGATTTCCCCACCAATCATCTACCCTATGGTGGGGAAGGTAACGATCTACCAACCAATCTTTAAATGACACATTTTTGACATTTTTCGGAAAAAAAAAGGTGAGGGGAGCCCCCCCTTCTTTTTCCCCCACCAATCATCTAGCAAATGGTGGGGAAAGTGACGATCTACCAACCAATCAATAAATGACACATTTTTGACATTTTTCCAAAAAAAAAGCTTGGGTCCCCCTACCTGATTTCCCCACCAATCATCTACCCTATGGTGGGGAATGTGACGATCTACCAACCAATCATTAAATGACACATTTTTGACATTTTTCAAAAAAAAAAGGTTGGGTCCCCCCACCTGATTTCCCCACCAATCATCTACCCTATGGTGGGGAAAGTGACGATCTACCAACCAATCATTAAATGACACCCCCACCTTTTTCCCCCACCAATCATCTAGCCAATGGTGGGGAAAGTGACGATCTACCAACCAATCAATAAATGACACATTTTTCACATTTTTCGAAAAAAAAAGGTGGGGGGAGATTCGCGAATCTCCCCCCACCTGATTTCCCCACCAATCATCTACCCCACGGTGGGGAAAGTGACGATCTACCAACCAATCAAGGGATGAGATCTTTTTGACATTTTGTAGAAAAAAAAAAAAGGTGGGGGGAGAGAAAAGGGGAAAGAGATCGGGGAGAGAGAAAAGCGACATCTTCCCATCCCATATACCTTTGCAAGTCATCGTAAAATGTACTGAGGGCACAACGCTGCTCTCCTCTTCGTGTTAATCTTCTCTACCGCTTTCGTTTCCTTTATCCTCTTCTGATCTACTCGTCCAGCACCGATGCCTCTCTTCTCACATGTTCATTTCTCTTCTATTATCTCGTTTTCTTCTCCTCTCTTGCCATCCCCCAACAAAGAACAAGAACCGTGTAGCACGGTAGAATCGAGACTAAACACACGATATGAAGCGCAATCTGCGCTGCGCAGGTTTCAAGTAGGAAGGAGGACAAGAGGAAGCGTGGCCGAAATCGGTGGCAGCAGCGGCGGAGAAGAGGCCGGTGACTATGGAAAGAGGCCGGTACCCAGCAAAAAAGATGCCAGCACCAGCCCCGAAGAGGCCGGTACCCACATTGAAAGAGGACGGTACCCCCAAAAAAAAAATGCAGGCAGGTACAAACGAAAAAGAGGCCGGCACCCTTTTTTCTTTTCGTTCATCACGCGGGCCCGACGTAGGAAACGTCCGGCTTACCAGCACCAGTTTGCAGAATACCAACCTCGGCGCACAACACAGGCCACTTTGCTGCAGTGTCATTCGCGAGTGTGCACCTGTGCTCGAACGCGACGTCCGCCTGCTCGCGACTGCCTCCACCTGCCTCCGCCTGCCCGCGACTACCTCCGCCGGCCTCCGCCTGCCCGCGACTGCCTCCGCCGTCCCCCCACTTCCTCCACCGGCCTCCGACTGCCCGCGCCTGCCTCCACCTGCCTCCGCCTGCGCGTGACTGCCTCCGCCGGCCTCCACCTGCCCGCGACTGCCTCCGCCGGCCCCCCACTTCCTCCGCCGGCCTCCGACTGCCCACGACTGCCTCCGCCGGCCTCCGCCGGCCTCCGACTGCATCCACGACCACCCCGCGGCACGAGGTAACCTCTCTCTCTCTCTCTCTCTCTCTCTCTCTCTCTCTCTCTCTCTCTCT